GGGGGCGGGGGGGGGGATTGAAAGAGCCGATCACGAGGGATGACACTATTCCTGACATGACTGCTGCCAGACTCTTGAGCTGGACCTTCAAGCTAGATCCAGCTAGACCTGCCAGAACAGAGGCTGCTTCCCCTAAGCCCCCTTGGAGACTGTCCAACCCATCGCCTATGCACCAGACATGCTGGTTCCTAGAACAGGCTCTTGCCCTGCCCTGGAAAAGGATGAAAGGCATTTTCTACTTATCTGGAGGGGTCACAGCCCGGTACCCCATCTATTCTGTCGTACCCTATATAAACTAGCGCCTGCCACGTGGTGCAGGGAATATCCATGTAATCTTGCTGCTGCCCAACATGTAAATTCCCTTGATAAACTCTATTAATCACCAGACTGAAGCAGCAGCCTCTTTCTTGAGTCTTTGCCTGCCCTCCGAGTACGGCGGATATTCAGTCTCAGGCTTTTCCCTGCGGCTATATATACTGACATTAAACTACAATAATCAAAACAGCATGGTACTGGTATAAAAAAAGACACATATATCAGTGGAACAAAATAGAGAACCCAGAAATAAACCCATGCCTATATGGTTAATTAATCTATGACAAAGGAGGCAAGAACATACAAATGGGTAAAGACAGGCTATTCAATAAACGGTGTCAAGAAAACTGGACATACATGCAAAAGAATGAAACTGGGCCACTTTCTTACACCATATACAAGAATAAACTAAAAGTGGATTAAAGATGTAAATGTAAGACCCAAAACCATAAAACTCCTATAAGACAACAAAGGCAGTAAACTCTTCAACATCAATCTTAGCAGTATCTTTTTGGATATGTCTCCTTGGGCAAAGGAAACAAAAGAAAACATAAAGAAATGGAACTACATCAAACTAAAAAGGTTTTGTACAGCGAAGGAAACCACCAACAAAACAAAAGAACCTACTAAATGGGAGAACATATTCGCTAATGATACATCCAATAATGGGTTAATATCCAAAATACATACGGAACTCATACAACTTAACACCCCAAAACAAATAATCCAATTAAAAATCTGGCAGAGAGCCCGGCCAGTTTGGTTCAGCAGTGGAGCATTGACCTATGATCCAGGAGATCATGGTTTGATTCCCGACCAGGGCACATGCCCGGGTTGTGGGCTTAATCCCCAGCAGGGGCATACAGGAGGGAGCCAATCAATGACTCTCTCTCATCATTGATGTTTCCATCTATCTCTCCCTCTCCCTTCCTCTCTCTCTGAAATCAATAAAAATATATTTTTAAAAAAAAATTGGCACAGGAAATGAATAGACACTTCTCCAAAGAGGGCACTCAGATGGCCAATAGACATGAAAAGATACTCAATGTCACTAATCATCAGAGAAATGCACATTAAAACAATGATATCTCACCTTATACCTATCAGAATGGCTATCATCAATAAATCAACAAACAACAAGTATTGGTGAGGATCTGGAGAAAAAAGAACGCTCGTGCACTGTTGATGAGATTGCAAATTGGTGCAGCCTACAGTATGAAGGTTCCTCAAATATTAAAACAGCACTGCCTTATGACCCAGCAATTCCACTTCTGGGTACTTATCTGAAGAAATCCAAAGACTATTTGAGAAGACATATGCACCCCCATGTTCATAACGACATTATTTACCATAGCCAAGATATGAAAGCAACCTAAGTGTCCATCAATAGATAACTGGATAAATATGTGGTACATATATATATAATGGAATATTACTTGGTCATAAAAAAGAATGAAATCTTGCCATTTGCAACAACATGGATAGACCTAGAGGGTATTATGCTAAGTGATATAAGCACACAAAGAAAAACAAATACTGTATGATCTAACTTATATGTGGAATCTAAAGAACAAAACAACTGAATAAAACAGAAAGAGACCCATAAATACAGAGAACAACCTGATGGTTGCCCAAGGGGAAAGGGGAGGGAGGATGGGAACACAAAATATAAAAAGAGAAAAAAAATTTCCAATGCTGAAGACATTTCTAATGGATTGCACTGGTCTAGAATGTGCAAGTCTATCCCACCTTTCAAAAACATTTTTTAGTAGTATCATCATCCATGTGAAAACACATTTTAAAATTTCATGTACCCTTCCATCCTTCTCCTACACACATGTGGAGGAAGCCATAGGTGCAGTCCCTCACTCCTCCCAAGAAGCTGGAAGGTTCCCTACTTTACAGATGAGAAAACTTAGGCTCATAAAGAAGTAAGTAGCATGACCACCAAGCCCTGTCCTACACATGCTGGCTGCCCAGAAACATTACTTAGGAAGCCATGCAGCCCCCACACAGCATCATGGGTCCAGGATAATCACAGACACAACCTACTGTCACAGTGCTCTTTGCTGGGGATTCCTGAGGGTTCATGGACTCAGATGGGAGGACAACCCCTTCATCTCCGCTAACTCAAGGAATTGAGTACACCTCCCACAATGATGGATGCAAGCAAAACTCCAGCTGACTGTCACTTGGGGAAATATTGGGCATCTCCGGGTCATATCATAGTGATGCAGATAGTAGTCACCAGGCTGCTCCTGGGCTTCACTGTTAGTACGTCAGTCAAGCACACTGAAGTCACCACAGATGTTCCCACACCTGTCGGTATGTGTATCTACACAAAACTGGCTCCTTTGTCACCTAAGCAGTAACAGTTTTTCCTGCAGTTCCTCGAATTACAACTGCATGTAAAGAACACTCTCCTAAGTAGCCAGAGTCAAAGAGGGAATTGCAGGGGGATTGGAAAATACTTGGTGATGAAGAAAAGGGAAAGACATGGGAGCCAGCTAATGCAGCACCCAGAGAGAAGTCCATGGCTATGAACGCCTGTATTCAAAAAGAAGAATCTTGAGACAATCACCTAACATTCCATCTTAGGAAACAAAGAAAAGGAGCAAACTAAACCCAAAGCATGGAAGTCATTATCCTGGTGAGGGTCTGCAAGCTGCCCTAAACACCAAGTGTCCCTTGTCCTGGCCTAGCATACCAGAAGGAAGCGCACTAAAACATGAGCAGGATTTCTTCCTTCTTTTTTGGTTATTTTCAAAACTTCTTTTGAGGGCCACATGAGATTTATATCCACCAAGCCTACAAGAATTATTAAAACAGTAACAAAGTACTTGAACTTTGGGTCTAACAGACAAGTGTAGGAATCTAAGTGCTGCTACAGGCAAATTTCACCCCCCAGCCTCACCTCCACCTGTAACAGGTGGCAAACCCTTTCTCCCTGGCCCACCTAGCCTCCCACTCACCTTGCGAGCCCAACCAAGCAGGATGATGTTGTACATGGGCAGGGTGAGCAATCGCTGTTGCCGGGACTTGCTGTGCTGCATGACCAGCACGTGGTGGGCAAGGGGCAGCTGGTCCACAAGCACGCAGCACTCCAAGAAGGCCAGGAGCCTCTGCTGCTGGCCCTCGTGCCGCATCCTGGAGGCCCTGTCCGCCGAACCATTCTCCTCCTTGCAGCTCAGCCTCCTCGGGGCCTCCTGTAGCAGCTGGGCCAGCTGCTCCTTCCAGGGGCTCCTGGGGGTGCTATGCTCCCAACGCTGCAGGCAGCCTGCCAGCTGCCTATTCAGTAGTCGGGGCTCCACACGCAGCTGCTGTTTGCGGGCCCGCCGCTCCTTCTGCTGCTGCAGGTTCGCCTCCAGCTTTTGCTTGCGCTCCTGCATCACAAGCTTCTCCTTGTCCAACTTTTGCGCCCAGCGACCACTGAGCCCCAGTGCAGCGCCCTCATTTCCTGCCTGCGTCTTCCTGGGTGACTGGGAGCCACCAACCTCTGGGAGTCGAGTCACACCCACCAGCTCTGACCTCACCTCCGAAACATTGTCGGCCTGCAGCTGCCGCACCCTGGCCTCAAGCACTGTGGGGAGGCAAAGGACAAGGATGTCAGGGTAACCTGGTTCAAATCCTGCTCTCTCCAGACACCCTGCCAGCCAGGAGGTAGGAGGTGGCTGGTCTCACCTGCTCTTGAGGCCCATTTCTATGTTTTCGCTGACAACACACACGTTCCCAGACTTCCAGGCACATGTACCCCACTCACCTACTCTTAGCATCTCTCACCCGATCCCCCTAGCACTCAATGTCCCATACAAGCTCCTGGTGTCCCCTCCACGTCTCTGTCTCCACAGCTCTGTCTTCCAGGTACTCAGCCCCCAACTCCAGGGATGTCTATACCACTGTCCCTCCACATCCACTCTCTTAGCACACCACCAGGGCTCTGTCCTCAAAATCTACCCAGATGCACCTGGCTGGCACGTGGTTCAGTGGATGAGCATCGACTCATGAACCTTAGAGGAAACTGCTGGAGCTACCACCAAAACAATAGCCAATCAGAAAAAAAATCTTTAAGTTCCCTTGTGTAAGCCAATTCAGACAATAGAATTGTTCTTAACCATATCCTAGTTGAGCAAGGTAGGGTTTGCTCTGTTAGTACCTCCTGTTGTACTTGGATAAAATACCTCTGGTAAAATAAAGATGAAACTAGATAAAATCCAGGCACAAGCCAAATGATTAAATACAGTGCCCACTGACACCTCTTGGTTCTCTAACATCTTCAGCTGACTGCTCTCAGGTATTGCCCCTGGTTCAGATCTATTCTTCAAAAGGGACTTAGTATTTTGTTACAGAAACTTTGCTGTTATAAGTCACTGTTTTTGCACAGCTTGATGTTATAAAGATACCACTTTGATAATGGTTGATCAACATTTTGAAATGATCACTGAGGTCTATGAGACTTCATATGAGACACCTCAAGAAATTATCCTTCATATATGCACAACCCAAGGACATGGACAATGGTGGGCAGAGGGACTGGGGAGGAGGATGGGACGAGGTGGAATGGATCATTGGGGAGAAAAAGGGACATCTGTAATATTTTAAACAAAAATAAACAAAACAATAAACTAAACAAAAAACACACACACAAAAAAACTATCCTTAAAGAAATATGATGGGGGAGCCCTAGCCGGTTTGGCTCAGTGGTTAGAGAGTCAGCCCTCAGACTGAAGGGTCCCAGGTTCAATTCCAGCCATGGGCATGTACCTCGGTTGCAGGATGGATTCCCAGCCCTGGTCAGGGCACATGCGGAAGGCAACCAGAGGATGTGTCTCTCACACTGATGTTTCTCTCCCTTCCTCTCCCTTCCACTCTCTGAAAAAGTGATGAAAAAATATCCTTAGGTGAGGATTAAAAAAAAAAAAGAAATATGATGGGGGGAAAATGACAGCAAAGCCTCCCTCTGTTCTGGCAGATGCTCTTATTGCTCAAATATGGCCTGAGGCTCCTAAAAAACTATTTTTCCTCCTACATGGGACATGACATGCCAGGAATGAGCCTTCCTGGCGACGAGGAACCAGCAATGGCATGACATATCCAAAATGAGTTACGTGACAATGGAAGACCAATGATGCTTTTAATAACTGATCAGTGTTGGCCCTGGCTGGTTTGGATCAGTAGTTAGAGCATCGGCCTGCGGACTGAAGGGTCTCAGGTTCAATTCTGATCAAAGGCATGTATCTCAGCAGCAGGCTTGATCCCTAGCCCCAGTCGGGCCCGTACCAGAGGCAACCAATCAATGTGATGTGTCTCTTTCACATCAATGTTCCCCCCCGCCCCTTTTCCACTCTCTCTGAAAAGCAACGGAAAAAATATCCTCGGGTGAGGATTAAAGGGGGGGGCATGTAAAAAAATAATAATAAATGGAGTCACTTTATTCTTTTTTTTCAATCCTCACCCAATGATATGTTTTCCATTGATTTTCAGAGAATGAAAAAGACAGAGAGAAACATTGATGTGAGAGAGACACATCGATTGGTTGTGGGGATGGAGCCCGAAACCAAGGTACACAGCCTTGACTGGAATTGAACCTGAGACCCTTCAATATGAGGGCCGATGCTCTAACCACTGAGCCAAACCGGCTAGGAATATAAATGGAGCCACTTTAAAATGGAGCCAGAGCTGTCATCCCAGAGGCACTGTCTTGCACATCTCCTGCCTCAAACCTTGGAATGTTAAAATAGGGTAAGACAACCTTTGGACTGGGCCTAAGCAACCTTGTATCCCAAAGAATGTTTGCAAAGATAACAAGAAAACAGATCATTACCACTACTGGGCTGACGGCTATTGGACTGAAAATTAAAATGTTGTATAGAATTAGCATCACTACATTATGTTACTTGCACCAAGAGCAATGCCTTCCTTCTATGTATGTAATTGTTTCCCTTTGCTTTTTTATAAATACCCTTTGCCTCCTAATTGGAACAGTTTGGGTTTCTGTCTGAATTAATATCTCCCAAATAGCTATTCTTACTAGTCTCAAATAAGTGCTTGTTGACTCTCACCTTGAAAGGCCTTTTAAAGTTAACAATCCCATCAGGTGCCCACTCAGAAAGCCCAGCCAGGGCAACATGGATCAGTTCAGGGTTCTAATCCTGGCTCTGCAGGTGCAGCTTTGTGTGGCCTTGGGCCAGTCTCTCCTGCCACAATTTCAAGTGTCAGCTGTCTGGAAAGTGGGAGCACCCAAAGTGGTAGGTTTGGGAAAGGAGGGAATTACAAGCGGTCACTGCTTCATTATCATGGTGGGCCCCCAGGACCACCAGAGAGGTAGGATCACATTAGTTACACTGTTTTACAGACTGACATCCCTTCTTGTGGGGTCACTTTGAGAAACCAGGGAGGTGACCCCCAGCAGAGAGGCCAATGAGGGGACAATGAAGGGGCTTCAGGCCTCAAGCCTAGGGCTTACCCTCCAGCAGCTCGGCGTGGCCCCAGTCCCTCCTGCGGTCTTGCTCACATGGGCTGGCAGACGAGCTCCTTCTGCAGCCCCATACGCCACCCAGGGCCCCTACGGAAGAGAGGAGTAAGTTGAAGGGGGTCAGGCGCCTGGGGGGTGGAGGCAGGGGGTCACGTGGACAGATACTGCAGGGGCAAAGCAGCCCTAAATTTTCAGTGGAAGCTGTCAGTATTCACAGGTCTCACACTGGAAAGAAACCAAAAGATCAAAGTTAAAGGGGACCCCACCCGCTAAGAAAACTGGGGTGAAGGATTGAGGATAAAGATTTTCTCGAACCAAAGGTACAGAGAGTTCAAATGTCAAGAGCCCTAGAAAGCAAAAAAGGGGTCAAAAGGCACCAAAAGAAACCAAGAGACAAAGGTCAAAGCGTCCAGCCGACCCCTGACAGAAAAGTGTGCCAAGAACAAGTGAAAGCGGGGTCGTGTCAGTGGGTTCCCCAGAAGAGCAAAGGGCAAAGGTCTTGGGTTTGTAGCAAGATCTCGGGGCCGAAAAGCCAAAGGTCACGGCCCGGTGTTGGGGACTGGGGGTAGCAGCGGCCGCAGTGTCGCCCCCAGCCCTCCCCTGTGTTACCTTCCTCGGCCAAGAGGCCGGGGCGGCCCGCGGGCCTCAAGGCCCATCCGAGCCCAGCAGCCCCACGGCCCCAGCGCAGCGCCGACATGCCGCCGGCACGCGGCCCCAACCAGCCGCCCGCTCGGTGCCTGCGCCGCCCGCGCCTGCCGGAAGTTGTGGTTCCATGGCCTACGGCGGCTGCGAAGGGACAACGCGGCCGGATGGGCGGCCTCGGAACCACAGCTCCCAGGGGGTAGCGAGGCCCCGGAGGCGCATGGACATGCGCAGATACAGCTTTCTGATTGGCTCTTCCTTCTGTCAAGGGAAAGCCGGCGGAGCCGTTGTTGGGGCAACACAGGTGACTTTAAGACGTCTTTGGGAGGACCCGGAACCTGGATTTTTTTTTTTTTTTTTTAAATTAAGGACTACTCGCATAATAATTAGGACAGCGTTCTACATTTTAGAGATTTCTGTTCGTAATCTTCATTAATCCAACAACATCTTTGGGCAAGAACTATTACTACCCCCAGTTTAGTGTAGAGGAAGCTGGAATTGAGAGAAGTAAATCAAGTTGACCAAAGTAACAGTGTGAACATTAATTAGGGAGACTGGAATTAAAGCCCAGATATGCCTGACCCCCAGACAGATGTGTTTGGGACACTTCCCTGGACATTACCTTCATCCACTCTCTGGCCTCAGTTTACCCACTAGTCCCCAAGCGCCCAAGGACAGGAGCAGAGTGGGCAGAAAGAGTGGACTAACATACTAAATTGACCTGACAAATGCAAGGAGATAAGCCCTGGAGCCTGGAGCTTCCCAGCCCTGGCCTCCAGGGCCAGAGCTTTAGAATCAGACCTGGAGGGCATCCCCACTGTCAGTCAACCAAAGGTCACTGCTGCCAATTCAACATCAGGAGTCCCTAAGTAGACGGATGGCAAAGGGGATATTTTATTCAGTAAAAACAGCTCTCCTGAGGATGGCTTGGCTGAGGGAATGGCTCTGTTAAATCAGGTCAAGCATTACAGCTCAGGTAACAGACAGGGAAAATGTAGCCAGGTGCTCCGTGGAAGCAGAGGTGAGGTGAAGCTGGCTTATATAGAGACAAATGTCCACCCCACCCCGGTCTCCCTGATTGGTTCATTCCCATGCAAATGAGGACTCCAAATTTGTATAGTTTGATTGGTCCATATAGCACTGCCCTAATTGGTAGGCTGCCTAGTTGATCAGTAAATATGCAAATGAGGATATCATTGCACAGCTCCAATTGGATGGAGCAGGTTTTCAGCCCATTGGTCAAATTTTGATTCTAGGAGTGCTCTTATAAGAGTTAGCTCAGACAGCAACAGAATAGTGCGAGAGGCTGGCAGCCCAGTCTGTGGCTTTGCCTTGATGTGCGGCTTGGGTGAGAGGCCTGTGTAGACAATGGCTGCTAGACTCTGGTTATGAATTTGAGCCAAATTAACCACAAAGAGTCCTTCTTGTCATGTATATTCCTTCTAGAGGGTCAACATCTAGGGGGCCAGGGGAGGGGAGCACCTGGTCTGGGATCAGCTCTCATATAGGTGAGAATAAGAATATCTGGGGTAGCCTGGCCTACATGGCTCAGCTGTTGAGCATTGACCTATGATCCAGGAGATCGTAGTTTGATTCCCGGTCAGGGCACATGCCCAGGTTGCGGGCTTGATCCCCAGTGACTCTCTCACATCACTGACGTCTCTATCTCTCTCTCTCCTTCTCTCTGAAATCAATAAAGATATATTTTTTAAAAAAGAAAGAAAGAAAGAAAGAAAGAAAGAAAGAAAGAGAGAGAGAGAGAGAGAGAGAGAGAGAGAGAAAGAAAGAAAGAGAAAGAAAGAAAGAAAGAAAGAAAGAAAGAAAGAAAGAA